TTAATTTATAAGGATTTTAAATTATATCAGATAAATAGCTTAGTCTCTTTTCGAGTCTACCTTTTTCGCTGTCGAGTTTACAACTAACTTCCTTGTTTAATTTTCATACCTAATTTTTTTTTAATATTGCTGATCTGCATAATTTTTCGTAATTTAATCAAACTTAAATTACGTGGTTGATGACCTGACATTATTTTAACTAAGCAATATAATTTCCTTATTATTTCCTACGTATATTAGCAACTCGGCAGTATTTTGTAATCGGTTTTAATTTGTTTAATTAGGTATGTTTTGATTTAATAAAAAATGCTGAATTAAAAATAAAATGTATTTGTTTAATTTACTTTAATTTACTTTAAAAAACACTAAGAAAAATTATTATTATTATTATTATTTTGGGGATTTGTGACACTATCAAGTTCATATTTTAACAAGAATAAGTCTATACACATCTATATTTAATAGTGTTACTATCAACTCATCGCAAACCGTCAAAGAGTAAGAAAATATTAAAGGTATAAAAAACTGTAAAAATACAAAGTCTGCCAATAAACTATCTACAATAACTCCTCTGGGCATACTATCGAGTTCATATTTTGAAAAGAATAAGATTATACATATCCATATGTAATACTGGTACTGTAAATTCATAGCTAGCCGTCAAAGAGTAGAAAAAAATTAAAAGAATTTAAAAAAACTCTAAAAATAAAAAGTCTGCTAACAATACCTCCATAACTAGACATACTATCAAGTTCCTATTTTAAACACAATTTGAACCACCAATCAATTTTTTGTACTATGTACGGTTTATAAAAAAACACATGGTGCTTCTAGTTTAATATTAAGCTAGCAGGTCCACATTAAAAAAATAAAATAAAAAATAAAACAAAAGTAGAATTAAAAAGAACTAAATTTGTACCAATTTGTACCCCCAATAAATTTTTCGTACTATGTACCGTTTACAAAAAAAAACACGGTGCTTCTAGTTCAATATTAGGCTAGCAGGACCACATTGAAAAATACAAAGGTACAATTAAAAAGGATTGATTTTGTACCAACATGTACCATTAAAAAACCTAATTTATTTAATTAAACTGCCTGTAACAACTTTTAAATTAATCCAAATCTGTTATAATTAAAAATAAAGAGACTTTTTGCAGAAAAATAATCTATTGCTATTTTTGCAGAAAACACAACATAATTTGTACCGTTAAAATATAAATTTTCAGAATATGCACCCCTGCCGTTCCTTAGAAACTATCCTAAATTCATATTCATTTAAGTGTAAAGGTTAAAGAAAAGGTCCTTTATTTCTCACAAGTCAATTTATTGGCGACCGGTTTCGAAGTTGTCACTTCATCATCAGGCACACCTAAATGGAATGTCAAGGAGTCAGTTGTAATAAAAACAATTATAAAAGCATGAACGGACTTTAACATATACAAAATAACAGAAAAAACACAAAAGAAAGTTAAACAATAACCTTGACTCACCTTGACTAATTCCATAAAGGAAGCGCTACAAAAAGTTTAACAGAACGAGTTAAAAAAGTCATGTGTAATAAGTATTTTTTAAAAAATAATTAAATTTATCCGCTAATTTAAAATTTACAGTTTACTGCATTGATTCGTTAAAAATCTAGATAGATGTCTTGACAGTCTGATAATTTTTACTTTTTTACTTTTTACTTTCAGTAATTAACATTATTTCCTTAAAAAAATTTTTAAACTGTTTGTGCTTGTAAAACTATTTTGTGTTGTTTAGTTAATAATTGTCTTAAATGTGTTTTAATTAATTATTTTATTCAAAAAGACATCTGGTGGTTTAACCTAACCTACATTAAAAATTTTTTAAAAAATACTTATTACACATGACTTTTTTAACTCGTTCTGTTAAACTTTTTGTAGCGCTTCCTTTATGGAATTAGTCAAGGTGAGTCAAGGTTATTGTTTAACTTTCTTTTATGTTTTTTCTGTTATTTTGTATATGTTAAAGTCCGTTCATGCTTTTATAATTGTTTTTATTACAACTGACTCCTTGACATTCCATTTAGGTGTGCCTGATGATGAAGTGACAACTTCGAAACCGGTCGCCAATAAATTGACTTGTGAGAAATAAAGGACCTTTTCTTTAACCTTTACACTTAATCCCTACTACTCACATATGGCTACCCTCACTCCAAATCATATTCATTTTAAACAGCAAAATCAATCGTTACTTCTGCAATAAAAGTACGTTAAAATGTAAATTGTTAGATTCTGTACCCTTGCCGTTCATATAGAAACTAACCTAAACTCATATTAGGCTCAAGAGTAAAGTACCCTTTTGCACGAGCAGAATCAATAGTTACTCCTGCAATGAAAGTAACATAATTTGTAACACTAAAATATGAAATTTCAGATTTTGTATCCCTGCCGTTCCTATAGAAACTAACCTAAACTCATATTAGGCTCAAGAGTAAAGTACCCTTTTGCACGAGCAGAATTAATAGTTACTTTTG